ACTTTGCCCCCTCCCCTCTGTCGTTTTCGCGGATGCGGAGGAAGTGGGACGCGTGTCGGCTTTCTACGCGGCCACTTTCCTGTCCCTCTTCGTCACCTTCTCGCGCGTTCTCTTCGCTCCTTCCGTGGAAGGAAGGCACGCGGGAGCGAGGTTGATTCGGGGAGGGGGAGAAAAAAAAGAAAAAAGGGAAAGAGAGAGAGAGGGAGAAAGAAAAAAAAGAAAAATTGGTGGAAATTTCGAGGCGAGGAAAAGAGGCCGAGGAAAAGAGGAGAGCGCGCGAGGAGGCGTCGGATTCTCGCCACCAATCGGAAGCCTCGCCACCGGAAGTCCCACTTTTGCAGCCAATCGTTTCTCGCCTCGGCTGGCTTACTTCGATCGTATTAGAGAGAGTTTAGAAAGGCGAGGGGCTATAAGTTGGCGGACGTGCCGCGATCCGTTCGCAGCACCGGCTCGACGCCTCGAAGATCGAGACGCGTGGAATTCAAGTTGGTTAAATTAGAGAATCGTCACTTGCGTGGAGCATGAATATTTTTCCATTAGTTTGAGCGTTCTCTCGCGCTTTGGTATTCGAAGGAGTCGTCGAGGCCTCGAATGCTTAAGATGATCGATATGTAGGCTAAAGGAGAGATCGAAGGAATGGTTTTTTTTTCGATAGAAAGTTCCTTCGAGCTTTCCTCATGATTAATTCTTTGGTGAGTCTTTCTTCTTTTGGAGAAAAAGATTTATATGTTTCTTTATGTAGTCTATTCTTCTTCTTCTCCCCCTTCTATTTTCTAATTTCTCGAATTTCACTTTCTAGTTTCGATTCTTTTTAATAAAAGCTTGGAGACTTTCGATATGTAGTGAAAACATTTATGCGACACATGTAGTCAAAACTCAAGCTCGACTCAAGAATAATTGATATTTGATCGATTTCGTTTCTTGAAAAAAATTCCTAATTTTTGCTTAAAACTTAAAAAAAATATGATCGACGTTTTAAACAGATCTCCTAAGAATTATTCACCTTTGAATAATTTCAAACGACTCGATATTTTTCTCCCTTATTTTCCACACGATTGATTCATCGAATTCGCGCGTGATGAATATTATTTTTTTCAAAAGCGACGTTTAAGAAAAATTCAATTTCAATTTCTACTTCTCGCTCCCCTTCTATCTATCTCATACCAAAAAAATAATTCTCACCTTCGGATGCACCCGTGGTCAAGGCTCTGAGTTCAACGCCCATCTCCTTCTGTCCCAAGGCTCTGCCAAACATATCTGCGGAAGATCCATCGTTGGGCAGACGAACACGAATCCTCCTGCTCCTCAAGAATCGTTCGATCTCTCCTATTAGAGGGTCCTCGCTCTTCGTCGATCTTCCTTCCTCGTCGTCACTCGCAACCCTCTCCAAAGTGATGATGTCGCCGTAGACGTTGATGGTATCCCTCTCGTTTAACTCGTGCATCGCCCTCGTCAGCCTGATCTCCGCGTTTCTCGGATCTTCCGCGACGGCGAGGCAGGCGAGCGACAATAGAGCCAATAAAATCGCGTTAAACGGTTTCATCGTGATGAAAATCTGTTGGGTATCGACGAACGCGCGAGGATTTTGACTGTTTGCCCCGGGGGCAAATTTTTCTTTTATACTTCGGCCCGTGATCGATGGTGGGGGCGGTTTGAACCATTTGGCAAGCGACGTGCAAGGACCGCGGTGTCAAGAATTTTAATTTCAACGTCTCGCCAATCTACGCTAAGCCCACGATGAGCGGGCTTCTACGCGAGTGACGTTGCGTTCAAACCGATAGAAATTTAATTTTCCTTTTCAGCGCGATCACTTTCGAGCGATCTCGTATGTTTTCCAATTAGATTTTGCCATCAATCACTTGTTTTGTATCTGTCAACAATTTTTATCAAATCGTTATTATTATTATTATTATTATTACTCTTTTTATCTATCTAAGATAAATGTCAAAGTCAGTTTCAAAAGATATATCGAATATTTTTGTGCGTAATTCCTAAAGCAAGCGATGTTAATTTTTCCAACGATTTTACTGCGCGTTCTTAATAATTGCACGAAATCGTTTAATATCGAAAGACCGGATGACATATTTTTTTTACTTGGTAAAGTAAAGAATGAGAGAGAGAGAGAAAAGGAAAAAGTTCGACGAGCACTGTGTTTGCTTCGAGACAAAGAGAGAGAGAGAGAGAGAGAGAGACATAAATGGAGAAATACGGATTTGTAGAAACTTGGAGTGAGAATACACAATTTTCTGGAATGGAAGGAGCATCTTAACGATGATTGAAAAGCGTGAAAGTTGATAGGCCGTTTTAAGGTGCGGATAATTTGTTTTAGAGAAAAGTAGGAAGAAGCATCTTTTCAAACGGCGTCCATTCGCCATTTGGGAGACGTTGGAAATAAGAATCACGATTTATTCGTGGAAAGGCATGGACGAGGAGATGTCCATCTCGGATACTTTCTACCAAATTCTCTATTCAAACGAGCATCTATTCGAGGCGAGAGAACAACAATCGTACTTCACAACAATTAAAGATATTTCTCTCGAAATCGTAAGAACAATAAAAGGATGTGTGTGGCGGCGCCTTTTGTCCAATCTCCAATCACAATGTGCGGCAAAGTTTCCAGAGGCGACGCTTTTTTCTCTTTTTTCGAACCGATGTGGCCACGCGATAATGCCCGCCCGCCTTCCTCGCCTTGGACGGTGTATGCCTCGGACGATGCGCGGTACACGCGAGACGGCGGTGTGTAATAAGTTTCTCGGTGAAAATTAGATTTCCGTGCCTGTTGCCGCGTGTGACACGGAACACGCGGCATGCAAAACGGACGACCCGCTGTTGCGCCGCTGCCGCCGTGTCCCGAATCTGTTTTCGGTCAGAAGGAGAGAAGGAAATGGAACGAACGAAGAGGAAGAAAGGAGGAGAGAGAGAAGGCGAGAAAATGGGGTACAAGAGCGGTGGGAGTGGGAAACGAAACTGTACGTCCGATCTGAATGGAATATGAGCCACAGACATTCGATTGTCGAACATTTCGATATTTCGCGGCGGGGCGAACACACACTAATCACGTATCGGCCGCTTTTCTATGCACCTTCGCGCGTTGCATCGTATATAATATTTTTTGCAGGCGCATAACGAATTATTTACATCCCAAATTAGAAATCGGCTTTCGATTTATCGGACTTACGAGAGCGATCGTGTGTCGAGTGATGTCGAGTTTCAGAGATCTTTTTCTTTTTCTTTTTTTTTTGAATATAAATTTTTCAAGAAAAAGGAATTGTCTTTATGAAGCGAGTGAAAACAAATTGGATTGATTCGACTAATAACGATGAACGAATTAATAAATAAGAAGAGGTGTTTCGTAAGAAATGTTGAATACGAATAATTTATTAATACAAAAGGGATTAATATAATAAATATTAATCTAGCAGTCGAGAATTAATTATCTAGATAGCATCATTTAAACGCACCAGACTCGCGAGATATGGCCACCAACCGATTCCTCTTCGTTCAAACATTTCGCGATATTTTTCATCCGACCCGAGTTTCAATTGGTTTCGTTCGTGATCGGCGCCTGGGCCGAGTATGCCATAGAATGGGCATCCGTTTCTTGATCGTTGAAGCTTCTGTAGTAACCCTGAGGTTGCACGTTTGAAGCGACGTTGCCCGACGACCAACCTTGCCCACCTCCGTTGTCCACCCATCCAGTTGACGGCTGATTGTTCTTGTTGAAGAAACTCGTCGCCCCGTTGCCGCTGCCGAACAGCCTCTGGAAAGCCAATACCCCGGCAAGGAGAAGGGCGATCTTGCCCACGAAAAGGGCTTTCATCACCAGGAGGCCCAGACTTCCGAGCACAATTGGGATCAGGGCGAATAATTTCACCCCCGCCGCGGCGATCAGCGGCAACGCGATCTTCTTTATCTTGGTACGACCTGAAAAACGCAAAATTATTCGCCACTTTGGCAGAAAGAAAATGGAATGAAGATCTTCTAAAGAATTTTGCAGAATTTTGTCAAAATTTGAATCCATATTAGATCCAATAGATGACGATTGATTGATGACATGCCAAGTTTATCGACGAATATTCGTTCGTAAAATAACAAGTGTTACACAAAAAAGAAAATTTAGATTCTCAAGTACAAGTATTCATCTTCTTTTGAATTGAAGATAATTCTCTCGAGCTTGTCACGAAATTACTCTAAAAAATAATCCAATCCAAGATACATACACGTTTTACTCTCAACACGTTTACTCCCAACCGATCGTTGAATGGTTGCTAATTTAATAGTCTTACTGTTATTAACTTCGAATAAGCATTTTTTCCTCTCTCTTTTCTTACCGAGCATGGCGTGTATATAATTTGAGAAGGAAAGCGAACGTAGGAGGTGGAACGCGCGAGGAACGAGTTTATCCGGAACAGGTTGCCGCGGCGCATCGTGTAGATATCACGAAGGTGAAAGGCTTGGTTGAACACTTGGTTTATTCGTTCATATGTGTGTGACGTGAACGGTCATCAGGGTGGGAAGGATTACGTAATGGATGCGCACGTCTCCTCTATCTTCTATCTATAGAAAGATAGAAAGTTTACCTTGGTCCAGAGCGCGGGAGATCGAGCCCTCCTCGGGCATGCTCAGCTTCAAACTGTGGGATTTCACGAAGGACATGACCGAGTCGAACATCATACCCATCAGCTTGATGGCTCTATCCGACGCGTCTCTCGGCAGCTCGTTCATGATATCCACTTCGCTCCTCAGCTCTTTTCCATTCCGCTCCACTGGAAGGAAGAAATGACACCTCGTCGAACCGCGATGCTTATTACTTTAATCATCTTTAATCTATTCCGTAATTAAATTCGATAAAGAAAAAATCCTGAAAGGATCACTTGAACGAACAAATTTAATATCCAGTTTCTACACTTTTTATCGAGATATTACTATTGATTCGAAGAAGAAACAAGTTAAACGAGCAGTAATAGAGAAAAGTTAATTTAGAGATAAACTTTGTGGCAATTCGTACGATCAACGTCACGAAGAAAATCGAATAATAATTTTAAAAGGAATATCTTATCACGAATATTAGAAGAGGGAAGAAAAAATTAATAGACGAACGGTTGGAACTCACTCGGCGTTTCCCTTACAAACTTGACCCCATCGATGATCTCAATATCGCTGGACCTGGCAGCTCTGTCCAGCATGCTGACAGTCTTGACGGAAATACAGCTGAACAGCGCGTTCTCTTGCTCGAAGCAATCGAGATCCCTGTTCAGTTGAACGTTGTTAACAACCGACGTGGGCACAGCCGTCGCGGAAGCGGCGAGAAATCCCAGAATCACCAGCTTGTTCATCTTTCCTGACAATTGGCAAATGTCTCTCTCTCTCTCTCTCACTGTCCACGAGAATCGATCCTCGGAAAATTTTCGGAGCAAAGTGTGATCTGACCCTCCGTAGCTTCTATCTTTATAGGTGTTCGCCAGCTGGGACCCTCCCCAATATCCCCACTCTCACGGCGGATGACGCGTGTGACGACGACGAACGACTAAGGCACACACAAGGCGTCATCGCGCTTGGTACACCGTCGTTGTTGTACCCACCTCCCCGTCACGCCGAACTTTCTTCAATAATTTTTTAAACAAACGGCCGACTCTTCCCCGAGTTGGCGCAAGAAGCTGGCCGGACCCTAGTAGCGCGGGCAATACCGATCGCCCAAGTTCCCAGATTTGGGTCAGTAGGGAGACGAGAGGACACCGCGTGGACACTGGAGAGAGGATGATATCTTTCGATGATCCAAAAAGAAACACTGTTGGAATTAATTTTAAAAATCGATCTAATATTTTTATCGAATCGAATTCTCGTCTTCGATATTGTATCGCAAGGATCGATAGATGGATCAATGGATTATTCGAATACATTTATCGACGCGGATATATAATTCATCTAAATCCCCTGTGGCATTCGTCTCCTTCCCTAAATTCTAGGATTGAAAAGCGTTCGAGAGATAATTGGGACGAATGCGCATATATAGGTATCTTGTACGTCCACGTGCAACGAGCAAGCAGTTCACCTTGACCCACAGACGTGGTCGTACAAAGCCACTCGTTGCATTGATGGATTTCCTGATACGACGACGCTTGATGATATGATTACCCATAGTTTCTCCGAGGATTATTATTATTTCTTTTGTCCACTACCGATATATTCCGTGTTACGTACCGAGAATCGGCTTTATAACTGTACACTTAAACGTCGATCGAAGCTCGAAGTTGAGTTGGTAGACGAAAGAAGGCAGATCTCACTCGATCCTCTAAAATTCAAGTATTTCTTTCGAGACGTAGGATATAAATTTTTCGCATACATTTTTCGAGGGAGAGAGAGAGAGATAAACTCTACTTTCACCGGCTCGTTATTTACAGTGTCAATAGCGGTTTAGGTACACGCTATAGTGAATGAAATTGGTCGATAGTACTTGTCGATACTTTTAATTGCAGTTCACCTCTATCCATTTCTCCGTGTTTTTCTTTTCAAAGTAAACACCGATCTTCAATTAACCATATACGTATATATATATGTATATGTGTGTGTGTATGCTTAAAATAAATGTTCGAATGTGCTCATTTTTTTTTTCTTTTTTTTAATAAGGATTTATCGCGAATTCCTAATTAAAGTAAGTAGCTCGGCCAGAGCGTGTCATTTGCCCGGCAAACAATGTCCAATCGATCCGTGCATCGTTCCTCTTCTTCTTCCTCTTTTCTTTTTTTTTCTTTTTTCTTTCTTTGGAATGGCGCGTGCCTCGGAATGGCAACTGCCTTATTCGCGGGCGCCGCTCCATTGTCTCGTTCCGGGTCTCTTTAAATATTTAACAGCAGCGCGAAACTTCGTCATCTCCTGCGTTAACGGTATAACGTTCGATGGATTTTCGCGATTAATTTTCTAGGTTACACCCGACAACCTCACCAAGTCGGCCACTTGTATATATATATCATCCGCAACCGATCATTTTCTAATTCTTCTCGAGATTGTTTCGAGGTCGATTCGAACTTGTTCGACGGTTCGAAACAAGAAAAATTTCGAGATTACGAACGAAAGTACGGCCGGCTCTATTTTCTGTAATAATTTGTGTCAAAACCGTGTGGAAAACCAATGTTCTCGAATTTTTCGATTTCTTAGATATCGGAATGGAAGAGAGACAGGGAGAAGAAACGGAAAGAATCGTTCGATGGAAAAGGAGATCGAGAGATCGTTAATATCCAAGCGTATGTTAAATGGAGAAATTTCTTACTCACCTTGCTTTCGACGATGATTCAATTTCGATTGCGTCTATATTACTTTCTTCCCTATTGTCATATTCCTCTTGTATTTCGACTTTCAATCGTGATTTCATTCTCGGGTGGTTAATAGATTGTTAGTTGGGAAGACAATGTTTTGCAAATTAAAGTTTCTGAATAGAGTAAGAGTGATTGAAAAATAGAGACGTTTGATGAATTGGAAAGGCGAGTTATTATATTCTTCCACGAATTTTATAGCGGAGTGGAATAGAGACTTGCCCTATTTAACGTACTAGCTCGTTTTATATTTTTATTATTTTTTTCATTTCACTCGAACGATTGTGAATGAAATAAAGTTCTTATATTTTTATTACTTTTGCCATTTATTTACTATCTATACGAAGTAATATTTCACAACGTATACAAAATTACCAAATTTTGACTAGTTACAAATTTTAAAATTATCTAAAAATATGAAGATTAATATCGACTTTCATTTATTCAAAAAAAAAAAACACAATTAATACACGGCTATTATTTATTTAATTATATAAACAATACTCTTGTAATTTAGAAAAAAAGTGATGGAACATTTAAGGAGATCAATTTTCTCAAAACAATTTTACTTCGTAAATTCTCAAAATTTAAGAAACAAGCTTCCTTTTCACGAAGAATCGACCTCGTAGCGATTAATTATTGGGAATTTTTTCGAGGGAATGATAATTGACAATTATTCGAAAACACTTTCCATGATTCGCTTCACTTTTCATCCGCTAATTTCTTACCTCGTTCTTGCTCCATTCCTTTTGCGTAACGGAATAATTAGCGAGTCTCGTTCGTATTTGTACGAACAAACAAAGTTTTATAAACTTGTTTGATAAATGACACAAGTACACTGTACATGCAAGCAAAGCGTTTTCGATCAACATTTTAATTCTTTTCGCATTAATTGTTAAGATCAACTCTATTATATATGCAATATAGTAATAATAACTTCAATTAGTTATTAAATTATCGGATAATTAATGTCAAGATTCTTTTGCAAAAGATATTGTTCAACAATAATGTTCAACTCTAGTGTCCAACATCCTTTGCTTCTTCATAATTATCTTTCTCAATTGTTAGAAATGAGATCTTTAAGATTCTTCCCGATTCTTTATATTATATATATATATATATCAAACTCATCTTCTTTAATTCGTTAATCTGAAGGAAAATTTTTCCCTTACTCCTGAACAAATTTGATCCTGAAAGGGTTAAAGGAGTTAAAGGGACAAAATGAACGAAACGTGATCAAGTTTTCCTATATAAATCTTTACTTTCTCCTGCGTCGTTCCCTATAAAACTTGTAAGGCTCGGTGTCCATCAAGTCGTCTCCCGTGTCGAGGAGATAATCTTGCCTCTTGTATTTATTGTGGGGCACGGTTAGAACCTCGTAACTCCCTCCCGAGTGGCCCTGCGCGACCTTCTTCAACCCCACGATGGCCGCCAGAATCAAGCTCATTAAGCTCAGAACGACCGCCTTGCCACTTAAAATGGCCAAAGTCTTCAAGGCGATAGGGAGTAGAATCGATTTTATCAGCATGAATCCCACGATCAGGGGGATAACGTATTTGTTCAACTTGTGTTTCTTCTTCCTACGTGCTGTAACAAATTGAACATTACAATTATATATATATATATTTTTCTCAAATATTATTAAATTTCTAATTTCTCCAATGAGAACAATTTTCGAACGAACAATTAAATTAAATTGATAACTATAAATTTAATATCTTTTTCGATCATCGATCGAGCCACAAAATCGGATACCGTTTCTATGTCATCGGAGATGCACCAGATAACGCAAGTCATTGGAGGCAAAAAGGAAGCGCTCCTTATTAGTCACGTTCGCGAAATGAACAAGATAATAAGGTGAACTGGAGTGGAAAGCATTTATGGTTATTGCGTTGACCACCAACTGTGTGCTGTGAACGACCGTGCTTTCGCGTTATGATGCATATTAGACGTCGCTAATGAGCTCGTGTAACAACATTGCCGCGCAACTGTGCAATTAACACGTTATCGTCGACGCGGTTTCATCATTTAGAACGGTAAATAATTTCTAAAATTCTTGATTTTCCTCGAAAGGAATTTTATATTTTTAAAATATATATATATATACACACACATTACCTCGTATTCCGTCGAATGGTGATCGAGTTACAGGAAGAACGGTGCCCGCAACGTTGAAAATTCCATCACCGATCCAATCCGCGGGCCTTCTCCAATTTTCCAGCTTCCATCTTTCCTGTATCATGGTGGCCTGCGTGGTTTCCGCCATGGTCAACAGAGGCAGGAAGAGCAACGGATACATCAGCAGCAGCATTCCTTCTATATATTCTACGATAGGAACTTGACAACAAAACACCCTCGTTTCTCAAGAAATTCAATTTATCACTTCGATCCACTTTCGGAAAGAAAAAAACGCGATTACATCCTAAAAAAAAAAAAATTACGTCTCCCAATCGTGAGATCGATCACGAGAAGAAAAGAAAGAAAAAAAAAAACAAGAATTATTGTGTATATAATTATATATCTCACCATGGAACAATTGTTTATCAAATATTTTTATCTAGAGAGAATTCTCGAGAGAAGTAAAAGCAGAGCACCGTCCAGTCGGCAAATGAAATGTTAACTGACATTCGCCCTAGGCCGGACCATTAGTTTATATATAGGTGGGACGTGAAAAGGCCAGAGAAGGAGACCACCATCTAACTCGGTACTTGACGCGTGACGAAAAATACACTGTCCATTCCACCTCCGTCTTCTTCTCTTCTCTTCGATCATTGGCCACGATTGGTCCCCAACGGAACATTTCGATCGACGACAATGGGACGCGACGCGCTCTCGTGAAAAAAACGAGACCGTGCGCCATCCGTTAATTACTGCCAATTTCACAGTCGAACAATTAATCCATTTTGAGAGGATCTGTCTCGCCAATACGAAAGATTCTTTTCTGGTAAAGTTTGGCAAAGTGAGAACTTGTTCTCGATGAGTTTTTTTAATTCTGAAGATTTTTCGAGATGGGATTTTTCATGTCGGATTCTCACGAATCTCTTTTCGCTCGATCATTTGATTAAGATGAAACGGAATTGTTTAATAACACGCGAGAGAATTAATTATCTTCACGATGCCGAGTCGGTGAACGATTTGAAGATCTGTTTATCGTGCGAATCGTTCGAGCAAAACGGAGGGGAAAATTTTATCTACGACGGAAAGTACACGCGTTTAATTTTTACTCGTGATTTCTTTTTAAGGTTCCCATGATCTCTTTAACGTTATTCAATATCGCACGATCGAGTAAAGGAAAATAACGTTGCATAATGTGGAAGTTGGATAAGGATCGTTTCTTGTTGCAAACCTTTCAATCAGATTATTTACAACTTCGTGAAGTGTCCCGTTTTTCTGAACACGGAATGAATAACCAATTCGATCGGGCGAAAAAAGAAAAGACCGAGAGATCCTAATTGAGTTCTTTGAAAAGAAAAATCTCTGATCGTTCTGGTTTATCGCGCCGCTTTCGACGCTTTTTGCGGGTGTATCCGTGGACAACACCCGACCGTTACATTTCTTTGGAAATAAAATTGCGATATCGATCGCGTTACGCGCGGCACGCAAGAGACAAAGAACGCAGAAAGAGAGGGACCGCAATGATGACAGTGATTTTGCAGGCATAGTAGAATTTTCGTCCTCCCATTTTTCCTTTATACTCCTTCCCCTACTTTTTATTCCGTGTCCCGTTTCTCGCGCAATTATTCGCGTCACCGTGTTCACGCAGGAAGCTACGAAATTACCCTTGCCTTCCTCGCGGAACGTTGCAACGCTCTTTCACCTGCCACTTGAATAGGAAACTGGGCAAAGCTCGATTCGTACGTACGAAGAGGATTTCGTGCGACACGGCATCTCCGATGTTTAGACGCCTCTTTTTATATATCTCGTGAACACAGATTTTTTCGCGATTACGTTTTATCGTCGTTCAATGCAATTTTTTCGGCCGAGTTCTCGATTCGAAATTCGGTCACTGTAATTAAACGATTTTCATTTTTTATCGTTCGGTGGAATTATCGAACTTTTGAACTTTTATTGAAAGTTCTTTTCACCGTTCCAGTGAAATTGTATCTGGTCTACAGATAATATTGTTTCTAGTTACTTTTCTAACGGTACGCGCGGCGTGATACGCGACCAATCAAATTTTCACAAATTTGAGTATCGTCGAGGGAGGGGAAACGGTCTAGGAAAGTGTTTTAATAATTTCAACATACGCGTGACATCGAGAGCCGCATTTGTCAAGGGAGGCAGCTTTCTAACAATCATTTATCCGCGTTTAAAGCGATTGACACGAAGAATTCCGTTTTCATGCAGGTTTCATTTCAGAACGCGATAAACTGTATCGCGTGCAGTGCGTCGATTTTCACGATTCCAGGAACTCCGTGCTAGAAACCTCTCTTAGTATATTATTTTCAACGCAAAAGTGGAACGACTGCAACATCTTTTCCAAACATGGTCCTTACATTTTTTAATTATCGATCATTTTATAATCGTCATTCTATAAAAAAATTTTCAACTTAAATTTAAATATAGAATCATCATTTATATATTTTCATAGAAAAAAATCATAAATATTCTTCAAATTACTCCATTTAATCCAATTCGATGATCATCGAATATCTCAATATTTTCTAATTTCCACTTCCTTAAATTTCAACGAAGAGTTATCATCTCAAGGGATTTTCAACTTTCCTTATATCCCAAAAAAAAACACGAGCAATTAACCATTATTTCTTAAATTTACGACCATCACAGATTTTCAATCTTTCTTTCCTCGAACATCCCTTCTCCAATCCCAATTCCAATCCCCTACTATAAATACGATCATACATCGATGGGATGGATCCACCCAGACCCGCGGGTTCCGTTCATCGGTTCCTCCATCATCGCTCGACCACTTGTCATCGGCCCGGTTAAACAGCGTAGCGTAACTAAAAAAGAATCACGTCGCAGCGATTCACGTCGCGGTGTGTGATTACGCGGGATCCAGCGCTCCACCCCCTCATTGTCCTTCCTTCCTTCCTTCGTTCGTTCGTTCCTTGCTCGCTTGGAAGCGATCCCCTTTACCGTTCGACGATGTAACCTGACACATATATCGCCGGCAATCGGGATCATAGAGCTCGTGCCGCGCTCATATATTGCCGCCACGTCGCACGGTGCTCATTTTTCACGGACTGTCGATCCTGCTGGTAACTGAAGCGTGCCCGCCGCGGTACCCTGGCCGGCCACAGCCCCTCCGACAGATCGTTGCCGAGGAATCAAGAGCGCATCAGTTAGCTCGCGGTCGCGGTTGCTCGCTGTTGCACTCACTCCTCCGTCACCGATACGAATTTTCATTTCGAAGTATTTAGAGTGTTTTATTTTATTTCTTTATTTATTTTCCAAGTGTTTAAAATTTTTCATTGGGAGTAGATAGAGATTAGTAAACGAGTTATACGATCGGTGGATGAGGAATAGACGGAGATAAGAAAGATTTTTTTGGTAAGGAAAACGAGAGTTGTAAGTTGAATTAAAGTAGTTTCTTTCGAGATTGATCGAATTTGAAATTGAAATATGAAACTTAGCTGCCACTTGTCACGCTTTCAGAAACAATTGAGATGGATAATTAAGGAAAGTCATGGTGCGGCCAGTCTGTCGTGATCAAGAACGTCGTAAGCCGGAGGTATTTTTAAACGTATTTTGGAGGATGTGAATTGAGAGCCGTGTTTAAATCGTGGACGATGAAATCGAGAGTGAATCTAGTCGCGATTTTGTTGACTTTGAGCTGCGTGGCGCGCGTATTGGAAGGATCGAAGAGTGACGAGAAGAGTCACAAGGAGTATTATCCAGTCGGGAAGAAGGTTGTCAAGGAGGTTCACAACAAAGTTGCATCTCAAAGCGCTGCTCTTCAGCGGATGGAAGATAAAACTAAAATTCTGAAGAGCAAGAATACCGGTTTCGGTTTGTCGAAAGACTTTCATGGACCAGGTAATATCGAATGTCTTTGATTTTCATTAGAAATCGTTCAAATCTTGTGCCTCTTCGAGATAATTTCTAATTAATTATTTATTCTTCTTCTTCTTATTATTATTATATATTATTTATATATCTTCGTTCGATGACTTCGATCGATGGTGAGAAAAATTCGAGAATTTAACAATAATATTTTTATGATCAAATAAAACGATACTTAATCGTAATGTAATTTTCATTCTCATTTATTAATTTCTTTCTTACTGTCTATGTTAAAACGTTACAGAAAATTTCTCGATAAATACGCGATCGTTACAAGAATAAAAATAAAATCTGTCATAATTGTCCTTACATCTATATACGATAGACAGATCGATATAAAAGAAGATAATCGACGGAACATATACGACAATAATTATTCCTTTTGTTTTCAGACCGTCCACGCCGAAAGAAGCGAAAGATGGACCGCACGATGATGGCGTTGCTGATGGCGTACAAATTGAAATTCGTCGCTCTGATTCCAACACTGGTCGGAGGGCTAATCTTGTTAAAAGCTACCGCGCTACTTGCAGGCTTCTTCTTCGCTCTGTTCGCCGCGGTTCTCGGTCTGAAAGTGAAGTGAACGAACCTATTTCACGACGAGAACACCGTGATTATCAAAAGTGAGGCCGATAATAATACTGATTTCGGTAAAACCGATAGCCGCATCGCGGTTATTTTGAGGTTATGATCACGTGGGCCGCGCGCATGCGCAATGCGACCCACGTGATCTCGAATCGAAGATTTAAGGCGTAAGAATGTAATATATTATTGTATTCTCTCGTAATCTGGTGTAGCTGAAGAATAAGCGTTGGAAACGATTAAATCGTTGTGTCTTCCTTATTCACGTCGATTATTATGCGTCTTTTTTATTCGATCTCAGGCTCGATCCATCCATCCATGGAGGAGTCTGTTACAAAATATAGTCAAAGAGGGGTTAATATAATACGTATCATAACGATAAATGCGATAAATGGCGTTCAATAATAAATAACTTCTTATCTGTTAGAATAAGGGCCCAGATATGATCGATAATATTGTTTTAACGATGACGAGATAAGTGGAAATAAGAATGTTTATGCTCGTAGTGGAGAAATTAAATTGAAATTCTGTATCTTTTTGTCAGGTACACTTTACGCATTTTTTTTTTTTTTTATTTTTTGCGTAAATGCATTAAACGTTAAATATCGTCGTTATCTTTAACGATATTATTGATCATTATTGGGTCTGGGTCTCCGTAGGTTAATTGAACTATTAGGGAAACGAATACGAAAGAGTTCGCCTTGTTTGCAATTGGGAGAAAACAATTGCAAATAATACGTAAAAGTAATTTTCTCTGTTTGCAATTCGTTTCGAACACAAAAATGCCTCGACTCGGTTCCGTTAGAAATTCGCATGCGTGGAGATAGTTGTGCGGTTATTATCGTACCAAATGGATTCTTGGTTGACGAGGATCGAAAATGAGTGGCAGTTGTAATACACGTTGCACTTGATTATCGCGTGACGGTATTTCTTGATAAGTGTCGCTAACGTTCGCATTATGTATTTATCTGATAATTGCTCTTGTTGGTTTCTCATGATGGAAGAAAAAAATTCAGTTCAATTAAGACTTCGATTTCACAAATTTCACAAATCCTCGTCCAATATTATCATTATTTAATGTTATTTGTGGAGCAATATTTTGATAAAAAGAAAGAAAAAAAAAGAAAAAATAAGAGTAGTAAAGGATATCGAAGAATTTTTTCTATGAAGAAATAGAATTTTAATCGTGAAGCTTAAATAAGTTGAAAGTTGAAAGTAGGAATTTAGTATAAATATATATTACAGAATCGTGAATATTTTTATAAAAATTTACAATCAAGAGACGTTAAAGAACTTTTTGTTTTTCGTAGAAAGAGACACGTGTACGAAAAAAAGTAAGTAACAAAATTTAATAATTTCTAAACGTCTCTTTTATAAATAATTGAATGTTTCTTGGAAGAAAGACACGAATCTCGAAATACCTGTAAGTTTCTCTGCAATTATTCTTTTCCACGAATATTCATAACAATAACAATAACAATAATAACGAACTTGTTTCTATATCGATTCTTTATCAATAATTTCTTTATGTTGAAGAAAATGTTGCGAGGTCACTCTCTGAGAACAATAAACGCGAACCGAACGTCTGTTGGCCTGGAATCTGGAGTAGACGTGATTCGAGCGCCCATGCACGCCGAACCGGAACCGGAAGATCTCCCTTCTTTCCCTTCTTTCCGCAACGATCAGTGCTGATGTCGCGCCGAGTAGGCCAAGTTCTGCGCATACTCTCGCGCCAGTTCCGTCGTGGTGGCCTCTGTGGAGCTCAAAACGTTCTTCAGACTCCTGTCCCAACCTCCACCGCCTCCATGCTGCCAACCGCCATGATCGTTGCTCTGCTTGGAGCTCAGCAATTTCTTCAAACCGATAATCAGGGACAGGACCAAGGCGATTTTGCTGATGATCAGAGCCTTGCCGGCAAGCAGAAACAGGACCCCGAGGGCTATGGGTATCATCGCAGCCATCTTCATCGCCATGCCCATCATCATCATTCCCATCATCTTCTTCATCTTGCCACGTCCCTCCTCCATACCTCGTTTCAACTCGCCTGGGCTAGTCCTTGGCAATCTGATCTGAACGTTGAAACTGTTCAACAACGAAGCAACCCTGTCGAACAGGATCTCGTTGAGTATCTCGTCCTTGCTCGACGCTGTCCTCCCCAAAGTGGTCTCCAACTCGGTGAACGAGCTCCTCGGTATCTCGGTATCCGTGTTCCTGATCAGCTCGAAATTCTCCGAAAGTGGGAGACTACGTATCCTGCCCAACCTCTCGAAGAACGCTATCGCCTTCTTCTTGAGACACGGCGACACAGCTATGTTCCGTTGCTGGCAATCCTCGTACACCCTGTACATCGTTCTGAATCCCCTGTCGACCAGGCTCTCCTCTTCCTTGTTATTAACCTCTGTTATCCCCTCGCAGAGCGCACACCACGCCAACAAGATCGACACACACTTGAATAGATCGACGATCATCTTCCTCTCTATTATATATCGAATATAATATAATCTTCGTTACTTTCGATCGACGAAATGATGGATCAACGACACGGCGGAAGAGAAACGTGAAACGCCACGAAAGAATATTGGGAATATTCAGGGAGAGAGAGAAAGAGAGAGAGAAAGAGAGAGAGAGAGAGCACTTCCACGGGGCCCAGGATCCACGACAGGAGACTGACGACAGGAGAACCAAGCCCGGACAAATATATACCATTCGGCGATCCGCCATCCCTCGCGAATCGGGCTGAGTTGTCTCCCACGTAAGGAGCTGTGCCAACGCAGTCCGCGGACCTACCAATGGTACACGTGACGTGACGCGTCCCCCTCGCTTCCCTCAGGCTCCCCTGCGAAAGGCCTCTAAACAACTCGCAGCCTTCCTCGTCCGTTCAACGGGCCGAGCTTCATTCTCCTCGTCCTATCACCTTACACGCTATTCCACTCGCTCTGCTCCCCGCGCGTATGATTCTCTCACAGCGTGACCCATTCTGACACACAGACCCACTGAATCCGCCGAGATCGAGATAGAGGAAGGAAGAAGGTAGGATCGCGATCGCGCAACGA